TTAACGATTTTTTTATTAAATAGCCTCAAAGATGGTCCCATTGCTGGTTCAATTTGAGGAAAAAATTACACTCCTAAGGGTGGATTATAAGGTATGTAATTTTTCAGACGATATCCTAGTTGTCACCTTGAGGTTGCAATGTTGCTTAGTAGTACATTCAAGGTGTTAAAAACTAACTTTTCAAAACACTAAAATCAACTTTAAAAAACTAAAAAGAATAAAATTATTTCCACATAATTCCAAATAAATTTTATTGCTACTTTGTTTTGTCTTCCCCATAGAGCCAAATATTTCATGTGTAAGTATAGGTGTAGTGTATGTAATACACACCATTTATATTGATATTTATACAGTATGTGTGTGTTAACTGTGTTCGTTAGCACTACTCTCTTGCCTACTGGCTAATTATTATTAGTCAGAGGAGGTTCACACACCGACTTGTAAGCGAAGTCACAAGGTTCCTGAAAAGCAGCGCTGCCTTTGCAGCATTATTCTGAGTTGGAGACCTATTTGATGTCATATTTTATCTTTAAATTCTTTTTTAAATTGTTTATTTGTTTTTTTTGTTTCATTATTAATTAGCATCGTGCATGTACTGCCTATTAATAATTTTTAATGTGTAAGCTGTCTTACACCTGTACATGCATATTTTTGCCCCTTGTAATTTATATTTACATTTCTTAAATTGTATCAAATAAATGGTTAATTCTTTCTTTCTTTCAATTCCTGCGCACACACTTCGAAATGTATCCTGTAGAAGATCGAAAGGCTGGCTACTTTGCGCCTGTGTTCGAAGCTGGTAAGATTCTAACCAGAGGTTTTAACCAAATTCGGGTCACCAATAAGCCTCTTAGAACGCCTTTCCATTAAGTCCAAAGCTGCTAGGTGGCATTTTTCAGCACCAGCCCATATATGGAAGCAATACTCAAGAGTATTGCTTTCAAGAAAGACTTGCGCTTAATTGTTTCTATTTCTAATATGAAGTTATTTCTACAAAAGTTTCTTTTTCTATCAAAATTTTTATCCTAACTTATTCTTCGCGAGTATTATAACCAGATAGTAATTTAGTATACGTATTATATATTAAGAAAGTACTACAATAAACAAGCAGTCTATTTGCGTACGTTATAACCCCATAATTCAATTTCTAGCTGTTGACTTTAACATGGATAAAGAAATAAGAAGAAGATAGGCTAAGATGGAATATATCATAACTTGCAATAATACTGGCTCTCTGACTGGCATTGTACTCGTATATTGCAGCAGTGTGTATTGAAAGTGTGTTGTACCATTTGTTGCGACCTCAGATTCACCCCTAGATGAGAAAAGAACGGTTTACATATATTCGGTATCATTTTTGACAGTCATGATAATATATTTAAAATTATTAGAGGCCCACGAAAAGCCAATTTGTATGAAAAATTGAAAAAAATGTCTGAAATTGATTTTATTTTATTAAAATATTTATTTAAGCTACTAAACATTCTTGTCATTTTATGGGTAATTTGTTGATGATCTTGCTTTAGAAGTTTCTGCATGAAAATAGACGAACTCTACAAGCGTTCTGTTACTGCATTTTTTTATAGAAGAGGGGGCAAACAAGCATGCGGTTCAACTGATGTTAAGTGACTACCGCCGCCCATGATCAACCGCAACACCAGGGTAATTTCAGGTGCGTTGCCGGTCCTTTAGAAAGGAGTAAGCTCTTTTCTTGAAGGTCCCCAGGTCGCATCGGTCCGGAAAAATCGCCGGTGGTAAACTATTCCACAGAGAGGTTGCACGCGGAAGAAAACTTCTTTTAAAACGTACAGTGGTGGACCGCCATGCATCCAGATGGTGTGGATGGTATCGGGACGTTTGCCGCGTAGTGCGTTCACGAAATTTGGCTGCTGGGATTAATCCGAACAATTCCTCAGAATGGTATATGCGAAAGAAAATGCAAAGAGATGCAACATTTCTATGCAGCGCCAGTGAATCGAGCCGATCGGAAAGCACTCGGTCGTTGACGATTCGAACCACTCTGCGCTGGATGCGGTCAAGTGGAAGGAGCTGGTACTGGGGAGCCCCAGCCCAGAGATGGGAACAGTACTCCATGTGCGGCCGAACCTGCGCCTTGTAAAGTTGCAGGCGGTGTGCCGGCATGAAATACTGTCCCGCTCTGCTGAGCACGCCAAGCTTTTTAGAGGCCAAATTGGCCTTCTCTTCCAAGTGACCACGAAACTGCACGTCACTCGATATGTCAACGCCGAGGATTCCGATACTGGCTGAGGCAACAAGGGGAGCCTTGAAATTGAGGAGATACGACAAAGGGGTTCTTTTTAGTGGTTAACGCGCAAACTTGTGTCTTCTGGGGGTTAAACTGGACTAGATTTAATCGCCCCCAATCCGAGACTCTGTTCAGCAAAGACTCGACTTCAGTCACAAGTTTGTCCCGGTACTCGGAGACGTTTTCCCACGAAATATTGGCACGGCCGGTGTAAAGAGCATCACCTGTGCTGTCATCTGCATAGCAATGAATGTTACGGGCTTGCAACATATCATTGATATGCAGAAGAAACAGCGTTGGCGATAGCACGAAGCCTTATGGAACACCAGCATTAATAGGCTTGTAATCAGAGCTTGCACCGTCTACAACGACCTTAATGTTCCGATCTGCAAGAAAGCTGGTGATCCAATCGCAAAATTTCTTGGGAAGCCCATAGGAAGGGAGCTTCGAAAGAAGCGCTTTGTGCCAAACCCGATCGAAGGCCTTCACAATGTCCAAACTAACGGCCAATGCCTGTGAGTTAGGTAGACCAGAAGATCACCAGCTGACCGAAAACGGCGAAAACCGTATTGGCGATCACTAATCAGCTGGTGATCCTCAAGGTACCTCATGAGCTGGCAGTTAACAATATACCCCATTGTTTTAAAATAAAAAATAAGTTTTATTCTTTGCCAAGGACGTTTTGGAGAACAAGGAGGTGATGGCGATAGGCCGGTAGTTGGACGGGTCTGAGCGGTCGCCTTTTTTAAGGATCGGGTTGACGAAAGCCGTCTTCCATGACTTTGGGACTTCGCCTAGGGAGTAGGACTACCGGAAAAGACGCGTTAAAACCGGTGCCAACTCTGGAGCACACGTCCTCAGCACAATTGGGGGGATTCCGTCAGGCCCACTCGACTTGTGGATGTCCAGGGAGAGGAGTGCTTTGCGAACCGAGCGCTGTTTGAACTGTACTTTCGGCATTGAGCACTCACACCGCGAGATGGTCGGCGGCGTACTCCCCCTGTCATCGAGAGTCGAGTTGGACGCAAAGAAAGAGCCTAGCAGATCGGCTTTCTCCTTTGCGGTATGGGCCAGTTAGTCGTCCTCCCTGTGTAGAGATGGAAGAGATGGCTGACAGAAATTCCTCTGGACAGCCTTGGCGAGAGACCAGAATGCACGGGTTCCAGAAGGAAGGCGAACTAGTTTCTCGCCAATTCTGCCTATGTGCTCCGACTTTGCTTTGTTACTGTATCTTCGTAATTGAAATTTTTGTCGCTTGAAAAATATCTTGAATAAAAAAAATAGGTTAATTTGTGAGGTCAAAATTTTCCGAACGAAAACGATTAAACAATCAACACACAGTTCCTGTCGTCTGAGACGATGTGTTCCACGTCGGAACCCTCACTCGGAAATAATACAAACCAACTAAACCCAAAAAAGCATAAGAATAACTGGTTTTGTAACAGGAATATATTATTAATTTGAATTTAAAATAAGAGAAGAAACCATAGCCATAGATTTTTACAGTCCTAAGTGTTAACGTAAAAGTAAAACTGCAATATTATGAAAGAAATAAAAACATCGTTTGACTTAATTCAATGCTATTCATAAATAGCAACGCCTTTACGCGCAACAACACCATATTATATTTGAATACAGCATATTCTTTTTAATGTGGCCCAAATACTCGCCTATTTAAGATTTTTTTATAGAATAAGGGTGACAAACGAGTACACAGTCCACCTGATGGTAAGTGGATGCTGTGGCCGACAGACATCTACATTTATCCTCGATTAAAAATCAAAATGCAGACGCGTTGTCACCCCTGAGGAATAAGATGGAAGGCCTCGTTTCGGGTAAAAAGGGTCTACGGTTCTCTACACTCACCATACGAAGCACTGCAGCATTGAGCTGCTATTTGACGCTGGTATTCTGTGCTCCCAATTCGGTCGAGCCGACCTATTCGTACTGCAACCATAATATACGAGCTCGTAGCTGCAGCATGGTTGTACTACGTAAAAATAATAATAACAATTTATCTCGTTATTATTTTTACATGATAATTTTTGGTTTCATTTTAAAATACAATCTATCACATATATATTTATAGAATTCGAAAATAATATATTTATTTATTTTTTTACATTATGGAAACGATTTTTGTACCAGTATTTATATACACACTTTTCATAATCGTAAGAGGAGTCGACTAAGAGAAAAAGAGGATTTTTGTATATTTACTTAAAAATGTTTACACTAAAAAAATCTTCTGAATAGCGAGGGAGATTTTTATCTAAAAAACTTGCATACAAACATCCAGAAAAATTCAAAAGGGATTCGTGTAGAGTCATTAATACAATTCGAAATATCAATGTCTAGAGCAGTACCTAAGTTTAAGCACGAAATTCAATAAAATATTTTTTTGTTTGCATTCTAAAACCTTTATTGGGAAAAACGTTTAAATTTCTCGTCACTCTGCTCTCATCACCGAATGAGCGTCAAGAAAAATACAAAAAAAAAGCCTGATATTTCTCTGTCAGGATATTTTTTTGTATTTTTCTTCATGGAAGTGTATATTAAGGTAAAATTGTCGGAATTAAAATATTTTAGCGCTATCTGTTTCCATACTGAATTAAATTATTTTCTTATAATCGCTGAACCGTTGGTTTCAGAGGAAAAGTTAATGATGAGCTAATGACCGTGGTACACTTATTGTGTGAATAGAATTTTGATGATTATTATTTTATTGTTACAGTTAAACACAGACAAGTGGTTAAAGGCGTCAACGGTAGATTTTTGTCTGGACAGCTTGTTGCCATCATGGGTCCATCGGGTGCCGGTAAAAGTTCACTGCTCAACGCTATTTCTGGATACAGGTAAATATATTCTTAAATTAAAGTATAGATATTTTTCAGCCATTGTAACACTGGGGCTAGGCTCCAAAATTTCATAGAATTCGAAAAAGTTTATGTGTGTTGTGGTGGTGAAAGAATATCCACTAACCCCATATCGTCCCGTGAGTATCAAAAGAGGTGACGGAGGGAAATGAAACGGAAGATGGGCAGCAGCTCCTTCTTAATAACAACTCAATATGATGAAAAACTGCAGTCGCCAACCCATTGTTTTATAGAATAAGGATGACAAACGAGTACACAGTCCACCTGATGGTAAGTGGATGCTGTGGCCCATAGACATCTACATTTATCCTCGATTAGGAATCAAATCGCAGATGCATTGTCACCCCTGAGGAGTGAGGACTAAGGTGGAATGCCTCGTTTCCAGTAAAAAGGGTCTCCAGATCTCTACACATACCATACGAAACATAGCAGTATTATATATTATATAGCTGCTATTTTACGCTGGTATTTTGTAAGAACGTGGTCCTTCCCGGGTCAAACCTACCCATTCGTGCTACAACCGTAATATAGCTGTAGCAATATATGAGGGAGGCCTATCTTCAACAGTGGACTTTTGCTGGGCTCTAATGGTAATGGAACAAGTTTTATCCCCGCCGGCACAACTAAAATTGTTAAATGCAGTTTTTTGATGTTAGATGCATGGACCTAGAAAAAAGCCGCCGTCTCTTAAAGCAATTGCTGACTCACCCATGATAAGTCAGTTCGCTAATTCAAACAAGCCGGCACGCATACTATGCACACCATAGTAAGTCTACCGCCTGCCATACTCTCCAATCCGCGCTCACGTTGTAACTCACACATAGTTAAACGGCCGCCATTGCGGTGCGTCAATTGTTTCTTAGCGAAACTCTGTCCGCCCTTTTTCCTAGGTCCATTGTTAGATGTTAGTGTTAGATTATAATTTGCCACACGAAATCGAGTCTCCTCTAAAGTGAAATAATTTAAATAAGCCTGCATGTCTAAAAAATTTAAAATACTTCTACTACTTGCAATCCGTTAACACACATCGGAGTAACGCAGCACACTCTGCTCCTGGATATGCTCCCAAATGTTTCGATGTTCTTTTCACACAATTATGAGGAGCTCAGTGCTCTGCAGTGGGTTTATACGTTACGGCTGCTCCTTTACTTACATTCATTTTTATTTAAAAGTAAATAATCTTCTGTTTGGAAACAGATCAGCTGGAGTTACGGGTGAACTGCTTGTTAACGGGCAGATTCGAGACGAGCGGCTATTCCAGCGATCATCGTGTTACATCACACAAGAAGATCTCCTCCAACCCTATCTCACAGTACGGGAGACGCTAGATGTCGCAGCCAGCCTAAAAGTGGCAAAAGGCACGACGGCGCATTCCGAAGAAATACTGCAAGAGTTGGGTCTTTTGGAGCACCAGCATACAAAGACAGATCAATTATCAGGCGGACAAAAGAAACGGTAGGAAATAAATTTTATTATTTTTGAGGAGGGGCTGAATACTTTTATTTATTTTTATTTAATGAGATTTTAGCTTAAGTGTTAGAAACTTTTATTAATGATTACTTTAAGGCTGGCAAGGTTGAAAAAAGCAGTCTACTTATTTAGATTTCTCATAACTTCTAAGTAGAGTCTTCTTACAAACAAACACAGAAACATTTAACTCAAAAGATTCAAAAATTAACTTTTGATTAAAGTGAAAGTCGACCACGAAGAACTAATAATAATAAAATTATATACATTCTCAAGTTGTTGCTGAGCTGCTTTTCTCCTTTTTGAGTGGACTAAACAGAATACAATCTCATATTTGTCTAAATAGTTACGTTATAAGCTACATCGCGTTGCACACTTGTATTTAAAATATTTTTTCACCCCTAAACAGTTTGGTTTACAGTTGACAAAGACATTCCATGTAACATAAATGTTCGTGTAAAATAAACGAGTAACCTTTGATTATATACCTATGCATCATAAAGTAATTTAAAATCAAAACTTGCACCAAGATCTTCTACTAATTCTTATATTAATGACAGTGTCTTGTCATTTGTTGTGAAAGACCATGAGACAAAAGTAACATTTTGGTGCGTAAAAAATGTCCTTTGATTTCGATGAAGACTAAGGCAGTCAGAAGCAGAAGCTTTTGAATTTTTTATGTGGTAGAGCCTTGTCGAATGGGTCAGCTCGACGTGGCACGCTCTCACAATACCAGCGTAAAATATCCTGTGTTTCGTATAGTGAGTATAGAAAAGACCGAGATTTTTATTCTTTTTATTTAATAATAGGCGTTCCATCTTGGTTTTCAAGGATAACAATGCATCTGCATTTTGATTCATAATCGAGGATAAATGTAGAACGTCTATGGGCCACAGTTTCCACTTATTATCGAATGGGATGTGTGCTCAATTGCTTATTCTATATAAAAATATGACATTATAATTTTAAATACGTTTCTCAGTAAATTTGACTCCATTGTTCGCAGACCACGTATATTTCAATACAACGATACAGTTCAATAGCTATAAATGTTAACCACACAAAATCCCGGAAATAGTGCTGTAAATAACAATAACAAAACATAAAAAAGAGCAATTATACACGTAAAGTGTGGCGGTGAACAGACAATGTTATCCATAATTATACTTTGTATATGGAATGTTCAACAATGCAATAACAGCGTTAAATTGTTGTGATTGTAGCAGTTATTGTTTAATGAAATAAGATGCATAATATGTAGTTTGAATGTTAACAGGGAAAAATTATTTATGCAATTGTAAAATACCGCAAAAGCAGCGTATGATTAACTAAATCAATATAATTTTGATTTAAAGTTACAGCCTATAATATACGTCTCACAGCTGCGCACAGGCCTCCCCTCATTTCTGAGAGTGTTTTGGGACAAGGAAGTGCCGCGCTTCCCCAATGCGTGTTGGCGAACTTAACATTTCTTCGAAATATTTTTCCCTTATTCCTCAGACATGAAGGTTTCCTCACGATGTTTCCCTTCACCGCCGAGCACGTGGTAAATCAGAACTTAAAATTGCAATTAACAATTTCATTGCTGCCGGCGGGGATGGAACCCGGGTTACTCGCGTTCTGTTATATTTACAGCGAACGTTAACCATCTGAGCTACCACGGCTCACTTATTTTGACTTATCTATACTATAGTAATAGCAGCGGTCTCAAAAATTGAAATCGCCCTAATGATTGCCAACCTTCGCAAGGAGACGGCACCTTAAGAAGAAGAAGGATACTATGATAAAACTGGTAACACGACGATTTCTGTACATTGAATATTTTTTTGAAATTTGGAATTGGGTATACTACATTATCGATTCAGATTCCAAAACAACGTTTTTGGAAACGTCTGTCTGGACACGATTCACGCAAAAACCTGTGAATGAATTTGGATGGGACTTTCACTACGAATTTACGGAGGGGAGGGATAATAGGAGCTGGGAAGTAGGCATAATTTTCATTTTTGCAGCTACAAAAATTTAAAATTTACAATGTCGTGAGATGGAAAAATTACATTATCCGATTTTAAGTATATTTTCCTATCCGTTATTTGATAAATAGCATGGTTTTTAACTAAATACTTTAATTTTACCTAGATGGCGCTATAGGTTTTTTTTTGCGAGTTATGATATAAGATACATCTGTAACAGAATAGATGGTGCCAAGATGGTGCTTTTAACGCAATGTTTTTATTAAATCGGTAACTAAATGTATTTTCCTACTTTTATTCGACAGACAAAGGCGATGCAAAGGAGCGGGTTGTCTTTGTTGCTCATGTTTATATTACTCATTACTAATAGACGAAATAGCTCATCTGCCAAAGTTACCGTTATAGCCTATCAAAGTCCACTGGATCATAGGCCTTTCCCATAGACTGCTTCATAGGAAAGATATTTGCCATAGTAGCCATGCTTGGCAAGCGTGTTGGCAACCGCAGTTTTTTTGTTTTTAGTTGTTATTGGGAAGACGCTGCTGTCCATCTCTCGATTTGTTTCACTCTGTCGCCTCTTACGACACTTACGAGATGATATGGGGTTGTGGATATTCTTACGCAGTCACTCGGTACATGGTAACTTTTAACTTCCTCAAATGAGATGGTCAAAATGAGCTAAGTTAAGTACAAGAGTAAGACTATTACTATAAATTTAATTAAAATAAAAAGAATTTGAATATATTAATTATTTCATACTTTGAAAATAGTATATAGTAGTTAAATATTTCTTCTATTGAATCACTTATATTATGCTATATAATAAAAAGATCAGAGTAGGAAAAAAACCATACCTATACTCATTAAAATACTCTATTTACGATATGTTATGTATAAAAACAATCCTTCAATTAATGAATTAATACATCAAAATACACTAAAGGATAGGATATTATTTATTTGTTTAATACAGCAACAGCTTAAATATGTAGCGTTACATTATAGGATAGGGTTATTTTACTTCAGTACTTGCAACACTGAACCCGTCCGTCCGTCGAGCATCAAAACAGTCAGTGTCAATGTCAGAGTTGATCTGATTCCGTAGACAGAGAAACCTATAGACTAAGACTAAGTGATAAGACAAGCACAAAGTATGAAAGAATGTTTTAATTGCATGTTGGTTGGGAAATTCGTAAAACGAAGTTATGGTATTTATCAATAATTCATATTTTAGAACTTTACAGAAATCTGCCTAAACTAACTCTTATGAGGTGGAAAAGAGTAAAGTTGTCTATTTACCATTGTTTACGAGTTAGCATTATTGCAATTTGTAATTAGATAACGTTAGCGCTGAATTAAAAGGTGTTGTTACCACCATAAGTTATATTAACGGGTTTTAAATATAATTTTCTTCATTTTTCCTACGTTATATTTATATTTTAAGTATTTCTGTGTTAAGTGTTTTGAACTTTAAAAACGTCCTTTAGACTGAATTTTGATCATGGCGGCCTGTCTCAACTGAGACTAGCCATTTATGCAGAACATTGAACTATCATGTACAAACCTTTCGGTAAAGAGTATCTAATAATCTACTATAATAGATACGTAAGTGGTAGGAGAATACATTATACTTAAATGACGCAAAACAGGTTTATGTATTACGAGTGTGTGCGCAAGCACAGGTGCACTTTCTATTCCCTCATTCTCATAGTATGCGATGGGACGGTAATCCAACACAAATATAGAAAGATCAGACACAGAACCAACGGCTTTACGTGCTTTCTGAGGCACATGGATGAAAAAACGGTAAAATCACTGCTCCGAGCTGATTACTAGGAATTTCTTGATAGAAAATCCAACTGATATTGGGCCTGATCACACCTGTTATAACAAACATAGTAATGTTTAAGTTTAAGACCAATTTCTGTACTACCGACTTTAAGTAAAGTTTACGAAAAAAATATTTTACATCATATATTATAAAACATATTTTTTGCCTACGGGAGAATTCAGAGGATGCTTTATTTTTTTTTTTTTTTTTTTTTCTTTGGTTTAGTTTTGGGTATATTTTGTGATCTCTTCAAGGCCTTCGACTGTGTTCACCATTAGACATTAATCAGGAAGCTACAGTACAGCGCTTAAACTAGTTACTTCATATTTAAGTAATAGAATGCAGAAAGTTATTGTCAATGGTAAAAGTTCTTCCAGAGGCCCGTACAGATGGGTGTCCCTCAGGGATTAATTCTCGGCCCATTTCTATTTGTAATGTATGTTAATGACTTACCTTCCCTTGTAGGGATTGTATAATCATGATATATTATTATTTGCTGATGATACCTCCTTGATTTTTAAATATAAACATCAATCATTTAAATGTGATGAAGTGAATAATACTATATCAAAATTACTGCATTGGTTTAACGTTAATAATCTACATTTAAACGGCAATAAAACTAAGTGTATTAAATTTACAACAACGAATGTTAAAAATCTGAATACCATTGTGTTTTTAAATGGAAAAGAACTGAGCCATGTTGAATTCTGTTTTTTTTTTGGCATCACTCTCGACGCAAAGCTTCAGGGGGGCCCCTTTATATCTAAATTGGCGAGCAGACTAATCTTGCAGCTTCTGCTGTAAAAATATTAGAGTTCGAACTAGTGTCGAGACAGCTAGATTGGTTTATTTCAGTTACTTACATAGCATAATGTCATATGGGATTTTGCTATGAGGAAATGGGAGCGATTTAGAAACTATTTTTGTTTTGCAGAAGAGGGCAGTAGGAGCTATTTATAACCTAAAACCAAGTCAGTCTCTTAAAGAAAAATTTAAAGAAATAAATATATTAACTTTGGCCTCAGTATATTTACGAAAATTTTATTTATGTTTACAAAACATATTTTTGGTTAAAAAAAACGAAATACACTCTGTAAACACCAGGAACAAACACAAGCTGGTGCTACCAGTTTCTCGACTCCACAGAGTCAGTAGTTAATTCTTGGGGTAATATATAAGCTATTACAACAAAGTCCTAGAAAATATACGAGGTCTTACCAAGTTTCAATATTTAATTAAACAAAAACTTTATAAAAACGGCTTTATAAAAATATAAATGAATATATAATTGATAATAACCCCTGGTAAATATTTTGTAACCATTCGTATTGTAAAATGTATTTCTTTTAAAAAGTCCCGCGGGGTTTCTTCCTGATTCTTATTAGGACAGAGGTTTTATCCCAACTAGTGGTAAAGTAAAAAATGACTTTCAATAAGAATTACATGTAATCTGTATTGAATAAAAACTTATTTTATTCTATTCTAATCTATTCTATTATTTAAAGGTCAAAATACTTTCCTCGGCTCAAAATACGTAATTTCATACATTTTGTTAATGTAATTAGATATACCTAATTTTAGATAGGCATTGAATTGTGGTTTTTATTTTAAATAATTTAATATTAATGGATATATGGTGCCTAATGTCTTCATACCAATAATTGGTGATGGAGCTTGCTTATTTAGGTTAATCTCTTATCTGTTGTATGGGAACCAAGTAGTGGCTATAGAAATTCGGTAGTAAATTGTGGATCACCTTATTTGATTTGTTGTTTAACATCTAACTTTTTAATCACGGCTTCGCTCACGTGGGCTTCAATTTAGCAACATTAATGAATGTTGTTCCGTGCAAAATTTAGCAAAATTCGATCAATATCAGGGTCACCTCTGTGTCTGTGTCTCTGTCTGTTTTTAATTTTTTGAATTCTCAAAGACGTAGATGATTGATGTTTGACATAGATATGATATGTTACAGGTACACGTTAATAAATAAGTTTTTCATAATTGTATTAATAACTTATGTCTATCAGGCGTGTATTCAAATGTATCCATAAGAAAGGTAAATTTTCTTGGAATCAAAATTGCGTTATTTACATTTTGCACTTTACATTATTTCATGATTAAAGTTAATTTATTTTAAACAAAACAATGATGAATTTCATTGTCGTCCATTAATTTACGGTATGATGTTAATTTGCGATATTTGATTCATATCCAATGATAACGATAATGATAATGCCAATAAATATTAAATGGAACCAATGTCCCATTTAATATTTATTGGCATCATAAAATAAATGCTAATATTATTTGAGTAGACTGCGTAATTGCATAAATGATGTTCTATAATGATTTCTCATATTTAAGCGAATGCTACACATGTGGTAAAATGAAATTTACTAATTTTATCGTATTTAATTTTTTTACGTGGGTTTTTTACACATCTTGGATGAAAGAGCCATAAAAATTAATTAAAACTACTTTTATGGATTTTATCGCATTTAATTTATTTTATTTGTAATACCCGACGTTTCGGGTGCTTTCCAGAACCCATGGTCACGGGGGACTGAGGTGGCTGACATCCCGATGTCTATGTTTACTCGGGGTTTCTTCAGCTTTTTTATTAATTATTGTTTTTGGTCCGATCTACGCAGAATGAACTTACTGTGTTTTGAAGTCTTGCAGTGGTATGCTTGGGTTTAGGTTTAATTTTATTGACTGTAGGTTACCAAGCAGGTGGTTGTACCCAGCCTCCTTCTCTATTAAAATTAGGATGCTTTTTTTTAATTTCAATTGCCTCACGTATCATATTTGAAGATTTGTGGTCTATCAAATCTGATGTGATAGTTGGGGCCATCTAGGATTTGATCACAAACTGCAGACTTCCCGGTACGTTGATGCTTCACGTCAGCTATTTGTTCTTTTACGCCAGTCACCTTAATCCCCTGTGACCATGGGTGCTCCAAAGCACTCGGAACGTCGGGTATTAAAAATAAAATTAATTAAACGCGAGAAAATCCGTAAAAGTAGTTTTAATCAATGAGTAGTGTTCGCGTAAATATAAGAGACCCATAAAAAAGTTAAAAGAGCGAGAAGCACTGACGTTCCTGGAAGTTTAAAGTATGTCTACATGTTCAGTACTGTCCCATTATATCAGATCTGATAGTCTATAAATTCTCGTCAAAGAATCGCGATTACTACCAAGGATGATTCGCGAGGCTATTGATATTAAAAAAAACATCCTATTTCAATAGAGAACATGTCTGGATGCTGTCATAAGCTTACTGCTGCAAGACTTATGGTAACTACTGACAGAATCGTATTTATACAATAGAAAATTTACATCTAAAGAAAGAAAAATACATAACCTTCTTTTTTGAAGTTCCTTTATCGGATAAAATTATCTTATAAGTTGCCCGGGGTCCAGGCCCAGTAGTTTTTGCGTGCTTTTTTGTCTAGACAGACAAAAATCTAAAAACCACTAATTTGGCTTTAGTACCATTTACTTAGTTCGCTGGACTTGTTTTTTCTAGAATATATTAGATTTACAGACACGAATTTTCTAGATTTATTATACGTATAGGGATGAAACACAAGAGTATAGTTTGCCAAATTCGTTTCTTGGTTCGTTTGTGAGTACGTCCATTAGTTCATTTGTTGGTCCGTCTATTTTTGTTTCGTTAGTTTGACTGATTGACTAACTAATGAAATGTTTTTTTTTAACTAGATTAGGATATTTTTAGATATTCGCGACAGTTAAAAGTACAAATAAGTCATCATCAACTATCGTAACAAAAGTACTAATTCCACGCGAACGAAGTTGCGGGCACAGCTAGTAATATATAAAAATTTATGTTTGTTTGTTCGTATTTTATGCGCTACCATGCTATTCATCAGCATGCGGCGGTAAAACTTACTCCACTTTTTGCTTGCACTTGCGCGAAGGTTATAGGCATAAACAATTAAGTAGTTGGCGCCCGTATCGTACCGACAAATTTATTTAAATTTAAAAAATATAAATCATCCTAATTTGAAAGATATTTCCACATTTATTTATTTTTTGGCAGTAACGCGCTGAGTACCTGTTAGTATCATATAAATAATAAATGCACCCATAAACTGTAAAGCCAAGCGAAAATAGAATAATGACCTATACCGTCAGTGTTAAAAGTAATAAATAGAAAAAAATCTGAACGTATCACTGTTTTCCAAACTTGTTGTACAAATTTATGTACAAATAAATACGACAATATAAATACAACAAGTTAATGTTCTTAATACATATGTAGTTTTATTTTACTGCAGACTTTCACGCATGTATAAAAATCTCCTTAGTAAGAGTTTTAGTCTTATGGATTATCGATTTATACTCAAACGTAAGGAGGTCATTGGTTAAAATCCTGCTATTACTGCTCAATCCTAAATCAGCAGCAGTTAAAGATTTACATTTTAGCATCAGCAACGAAAATGTCACTCAGGTAACGGGCGTGAAGTCACACAATGTTCTTGTTACTTTTATTATTACGATGAGGTTACTCTTGAGACGTAGTTAATTTGTTCCTTAGGAACTTACCTATTTTACTGTCAAATTTGGCATTAATGTTGGTAAAAAGTTTCTCGGACGAGGTTACAGAAACGCATTTCATCACAATTTTGTTCAAGCCGTGGTAGCTCAGATGGTTAACGCTCGCTGTAAATATAACAGAACGCGAGTAACCCGGGTTCGATCCCCACCGGCACCAATGAAATTGGTAATTGCAATTTTAAGTGCTAATTTACCACGTGCTCGGCAGTGAAGGAAAACATCGTGAGGATACCTGCATATCTGAGGAATAAGAAAAAATATTTCGAAGACATTAAAGTTCGCCAACACGCATTGGGGCAGCGCGGCGGACACTTCCTCGCCCTGAAACCCTCTCAGAAATGAGGGGAGCAGTGGGACATATATAGGCCGTAACTTTGATGGACTCTTCTTCAGAAGTACATGGTACTCTTTCTCAGAAGAGGAATTGGGACTTGCTGTTCCTGTCTACAAGTACTGCATCATCAAGTAGCCTTTTCGTCTTCAAGTTTGCGATTTCTTGCCTCAGTTATTTCTGTACATAGGGAATCAAACGGTTGAGGCACATTGTACACTGCATATCGACTCTGGCTTCACTTATACACCGTACAAGTGACATTTGAACATTTTGGATAAGGTAAAGTTTGAAAAACTCTGTCTACAAAAAAGAAACGATCGATTGACCTGCAACAGGGCAACGCAATCGTTGCCCAAACCGTCTATCGACTGACTCTATATGAATAATATCGCATAAAGGCTGGCAAATATGATATCGAGCCATTACCACCGACTTAGTGTAACTAACAATAAACAAATTTTACAGAAGGTATTTTTTTAAATATTTTTACAAATAATTGCGTTATTAACTTGAAATTTAAAATTTAATTACGATTTTTGAGTAAATAAAGTTTTAACGAAAAAAATTGTATTTTAAGGTTTTTTTGACATTTACAATATTTTTGCTGTCTCAAACGAACAACTTCTCATGATTTTAGGCGTTTGAGATAATACTTGCGATAAAAATACCCTGGTTAAAGTTTTAACGCAAGCAGCAACAAACCAAAATGGTTTCTATCTGTGGATCTATTTTTATAAATAAATGGGTACTTAATCAATTAATATTAAAAAACAACTCAAAATATATAGTTAGATATACCATAATCGACACCCAATATGAACAACATTGTAACTGTAGTTACACGTTGGTACTTATTTATGTCATATGAATTCAGCAAGAACAGACTTTTATTTCGGTCTTTGAACCGTATCTATATGACAATAAGAAGTACTTTTGTGAAATGGAATAACATCATTGTAATAGAAAATGTACTGTGTTTCCGTTGAAGTATAATTGTAGATGAAGTTGCAATACACAAAAGTTTGAGTAACAATTGTTTCTTCGTGTTAAAGTCATTGCAAATGAACATACAATATTATACATTTAAATTATTAGACTGTTTTTACTTTGACCACGTTGTAATTTTAAATTACAATGTTTTTCTTCTAAAATGTTTGATAACGTTATAATTGTAAATAAAGTTGCGGTGTTGACATCGAGACTAAGTTTCGAGTTCGTCATTTGAATATAATAGTATCATTATATGCTATGTTATTGTTAGCGAGCAATATTTTTATTCATGAAAATAATCGCCATTACTGTCAGGTTTCTGCTCAGTGGACGTTTTGTTCCAGTGATAGTGACTGTTTGTGGATTAAATTTATTGTAATAATGAAGTCTCGTGGGAAGCTTATGGTGAATCTCCTTCGCAAAAAAGATGTCTCAGTTGTGGAATCAATGGGTAAGTAATAAACATAGATATTACACGCTATCTTATTTATAACCTAAAAGTTTAAATTGTTTTGATTTGTGTTTATTTTATTTTTTATTTTATTTTATTCATTTTATTCAAAGTGGAACAGCTAACAACTACATTATATATAATTACATATAGATAGTACAGTAACATAGTATACGCAATAATGCAGCCCACAGTGCTGTTCACAGATTACCTCTTGGGATAGATAATTAAGACGCTAGGAGACCTGCAGCTGTACAGAACGTATTATACAAATGTCAAAGTATGGTCAACAGTGATATTATAATGTGACTAAGATAACAAATTATTATGTGAAAAGTGTCTTGTATAAAAGACCACGAAACTTTTCCTTTGAGCATCTAAAAATGTCTATATGCTCGAAGGTCTCATTATATGTGGCAACCATACGTCGAATTGGTGAACGAATACCGGTATTGGATCGACAGGTACTTACGGCAAAGAGTTTACCCGCACGCACCCGTCGTCTATGGACAGTTCTGGGAACTACATAACATAACAGATTGTTTAACTCAATACAGTCAAATTTACATCTTACTATATGAAACAATGTCATAGACTCCAATTGCTTACGTCTAGAGTGGAGGGTTAGAAGTTTGTATCTACTGAGTAACTGGTCATACGGTAAATGAGATTTATGACATCTATAATGCATTGCACGTAGAAACCGGCGTTGAACATTTTCAATTTTGTGTATATATTTATTATAATAAGGATTCCAAATGGGCACAGCATATTCAAGTTGAGAGCGAACTAAGGTTTTATATAAATAAAGATATGAAGAGGTCCGTTTGAAGTCGCGAGTTGATCTCATAATAAATCCATATAGTTTGTATGCTTTGTTAACAATTTGTTCAATATGTAAGTCTAAGCATAGTTTTGAATCAAACAGTATACCGAGATCTCGCATAGAATCCACTTTACCTAAGGGAACGTTACACAGTGAGTACGAAAATGTAATAATATTCTTGTTTTTAGTAAAACGGAGATATTTACACTTCGGAATGCTTAACTGAAGCTTACTTTTGTAACAATAGTCTGTAAGTCTATCTAGGTCCTCTTGGAGAAGAATGCAGTCTTGTATAGTATGGATAGATTTATAAACTTTAAGATCATCTGCATATAATAAAAATTTTGAGTTGAGAAAACAGTTACTTATATCATTAATAAACATTATAAATAACAAAGGCCCGAGAATAGATCCCTGAGGTACACCGGAGGTAACCATCGTAACGTTAGAGTGGTATCCATTAATTACAACCCTTTGACAACGGTTAGTGATATAAGAAACAAACCATCGTAACAAATTACCCCGAATGCCATTGTAAGCTATTCGATTTAGTAACATTTCGTGGTCCACTTTATCGAAGGCCTTTCGAAAGTCTGTATATACTGCATCGACCTGTACGCGATCATCAACATTTTCAAATAAATAGCTGGAAAATAATAATAGATTGGTGGTTGTTGATCGACGTTTAACGAAACCATGCTGTTGCTGTATAATTATATTGTGCAGTATGGGATATATTTCGTTATGCACAAGTCTCTCGAAAAGCTTCGACAAAGTGGACAAAATTGATATCGGGCGATATTGATCTACACTACGTTTAGATCCGCTCTTGTGCACAGGTGTGATGTTAGCCTGTTTCCATACTGTGGGCATAACACCTTCAGTAATGCATTTATTATAGATGATAGTTAGGGGTTTACATATAACTGTGGCAGTGTTTCTTAGAAAATAAGCAGATAAGCCATCAGGGCCTGGCCCCTTAGATGGATCCAAGGATTTCAGCTCTCTTAATACCTTTTCTACTTCAAAATGAAGATTAGTAATAGTAGTGTCATGGGATGCTGAATCGGCAGGTGGTCTCCACTGCGATAGTGTAGGTGAGGGCGGTTCGTAAACGGAAGAGAAGAATTCAGAAAACATGTTGCATATTGTTTGTGGATCACTTGAAACATCATCATTATATTCAACCTTAGCTGGTATTCCAGGTTTGTCACGACGATTAGAGATGTATATCCAGAAATCATTAATATTTTTGCGTATGCTATCCTCGACCGATCCAATATATTTAGAAAAACATTTATTGCACACATCCTTAAATAGCTTTCTATACTGGGAAAATATCTCATAGTCTGATATGTTGTTATATTTCTTCCATTTCACCCAAGATTTACGTTTTTTTCTAAATGTGCTAATTAGAGATTTCGAAAACCAGACAGGAAAAGCAGAGGTTCTGGAGCCAACAAATGGCGTGTGTTGTTTGATAATTTCGTCAATGATTCCGTAAAATGCGCTAAGTGATTCTTCAGATCCCAGTGGAGTAAGTATTTCATCCCAGTCAGTGGACTCTAATTTGCGGTTGATGTGCGTGTAGTCGGACTTATAAAAATTGTACCTTTGAAGCGTCCGCTTTTTCATTGGAACAATATCAGCATTGAGAGCTATATCACAAACAAAGGGTGGATGATATGCGTCAACAGGAAGTAGGGGACTTAAAGCGGCCGATATCTTACACGAGCGGTTTGATATGCATAAATCAAGTATTTTATTTTTGGTATTCACTACGTAGTTGTATTGTGCGGCATCTAGAAATGAGATTAAATTACATAATAGGTTAAAGGTAACGGATGAGCCTACTCCACTACCATGTAAGGCGTCTGTGGTTCCTCGTGTCCAAGTTACATCTGGGAGATTATAGTCGCCCAAAATATAGAAACCATCCAAATTAGGATCACACAGTACCTCTTGTAAAGTTTCAAAGTGAAGTTCGTATACGGTAGAGGGTGTTTTGGGGGGGTATGTAAGCAGCACTGAAGACATGGCGCTTTGAGGATTGCTTACTAGGGACGTCGATGATGACATGTTCGATTAGGTTATGCAATGAAACATTTACACTAGTCAAAGACAGATTTAACTCAGATGATCTGAGTGTACGCAATACCGCAATTAGAACACCACCGCCATCTAGTTTATTTGTACTGATACGATTACGGTCGCACCTGTACACAATATAACGTTGATCGATAAACTCATTGTTGCTAATTTCCGATATCAGCCAAGTCTCGGTGAGTACGATGATATCATAGTTACTGTTTAGAATGTTCATATATAGTGTGTGTAATTTTGTTCGGAAACCTCTGCAATTTTGATAGTATAAGGAATATTGCTTGCTACCAATTACAAATAATTGAAAATGACATGTACATATTAACAGTAATATTAAAACTTTCGCTTACAATGTTCAAGACTTTAAAATAATAATAAGAATATTTTACCTTATTATGATATAATAAACCAGTCACGGAGCAAAGACAAACCTCCAATTCCCCACGAAGAAACGATTCAAAATATATCTTCATAAAAATAATAAGAATTACAAAAACATGCACGCAAAATGAAAAAATCAATAAAAATTTATAATTATTACTCCACACCTTTTCAGCCCACTGGTTAAAATATTTTGTTGATACATATACAACCAAACAACCATACTTACACATGTTATATTCAAGGGCTGACATACTTATGACATACTCATAAATTTTTAAAAAGATTATAATATTACAACAGACAAGTAACACATAATCGTAGTAATTAAAAGGATTGAAAAGTTTGTAACTTATCAAAGTGTAACAACATATGGCAAAATAGAGGCCAAGACGATTGCATAATAATAAACCTAGAATCAACATACAATTTATTAATACAAGTATGTTTATAAACTTATAATTAAACTGAGCATTATTTTTAATTTTGACGTAAGGCACACTTATTTTATGTTTAAAAAAGTTTAGTTTATATACAGTTATCATGCCAAATGATTTCATAATAGCACTATTTATAGTAATATATACTCCATAAAATAAATATAAATATTTCAAAAAAGTGTAACATAATGCAATAGTACAATATAACCTTACTAACATAACATAGCGTAAGGAAAATTTAATTTCAAAAGTATTAATTATATAATTTGACTTGTTTGCATTTTTGGATGAGAGAACGATAAAAATCATTAATAAAAACGTGTAATACAGAATGACACCTAATGAAGAAATTAAGCGAGATGTATGGTGGGGAGAATAATGATAATAATGAAAAGTATTGTTATTACTGAGTATGTTGAGTAGAACCACCACAAGCGCTTTTATTACCACCTTTAGTACGGCTTTTAATCTTACGAAGATCATCATCTGTGCGGATAGCAAAAGCAGTATCACCATCTTGCTCGCGCACCAAAATAGTGGCATTCCGAACCCAGACATACTTGTATTGGTGCATAGCGGCGAGATCTCTGGTTTTACGAAATAATCGTTTTTTCTTCAGTGTTAGATGCTCGTTCATATATACGGTCATTGTCGATCCGGTGAGACCTAGCTGGTCGGTCTTGAGAGTTTTCACCTTACGAAAAGCCGCTAGTACGTTGTCACGAAGGATGCGCGATGAAAGTTTCACAATAACATTCTTGGGCTTATTTGTTTAACGGTGAGCATGGGGAACTCTATGGATTGACAGGATATCTTTCTGAGAAATTGGAAAGTTAATAGCCATACTAATCGATCCCATTATGTTTAACAAGTTTTCACTGCGAGTTTCAGGAGTGTTACAGATTTCGATGTTACATTGTCTGGCTTGTTGCTCTAAGTAATCGACTTTAGTTTCCAAGTTGCTAATGGTTAGGCTGGATTGTTCGGTGGATTGACGTATTGTGCCGTCCACTTTTTTTTTGAAATCGTCTTGTTCCCCGGAAAGGAACAGCATGGATGCTTTTAATTCTGAGACATCACATATATCAGCAGTTTGATGCTTTAGACGCTCATGTTCAGCACGAAGGGTGCATATCTCCTCCCTGAATCCATTGAAAGCAAATTTTAAATCATCATTAAGTTTAGTTATACTTGCCTCCATCTCATCTCGCCAGTCATGTAGTGAGCTCTTGATATTCTCCTTGAATACAGTTAGTGTATTGTTCATATCACTTCGCCATTCCTCAAAGGTCTTATGTAGTTCCTGTGTGAATGTATGGAAAGTAGCACCCGTCTCCAGGGCAACACAGTCATGGACTGAAGCAGCTGGTGTAGTCGGTGAGATGGGTGCTTGGCCCTCGATTTCATATGACATATTCATGTTATCATCCAAAGGTATTTGCGTGGATCGCACGGGCTTAAGCAAGTTGGATCGTCCACGACGGATAACATTATTGCATGAGGGACATTTCCAGGCTGCCTTAAATTCTTCTGACAGTGAAGAATATTGTTGCTGCTTAATATTAAGGCATTCAATGTGATAGATTCCTTCGCAGGAATGACAATTCAGCAGCCGCGCCCCCGGTTTGCAGATTGTATTACAACCAGCGCAATTCATTTTTAAGAAGTTGTAGTTTGTAATGTTATTATTGTACACTCCAACCACAAAAGCGCCACCTTTTGGTGGCACGGAAACTCGATCGATGTATCAAGGATTACAATTATTAATATCGATATTCGAGAACCACCAATTTGTCATCAATATAAGCATAAACACATAGATGGCGTTATTTATAATCTTGTAGATGAGATCAACGACATTGATTCAAATCGAAACTAAAAGTTTTTACAACAACCGTCAAATTTCACACGATAAAAAGTTTTGCAAAATACACTTAATGTATATAGTAATTTACTATTGCACTTAGGTTTACGTTAACATATGTTACTACTAACAAATGTTATTAGCACTGAACTTTATTATTTACTTATTAACTTGTATTAATACATAAATTAATATTATTTATAGTGACAACAAACTGTATTTAATATCGTTATTTCCTGCACATTTCGTGAATGAGAAGACTTTATAACACTTGTACACAACTAATAAGGTTTTTACTTTGCACTAAATTAATATTTTAGTATATCCGAGCTGTTTTATAATTTTAATAACAGAAATACACGGAGCTGATCTTAACCGTGGCAACTAGCGCCCTCAGTTGTGAAGTTTACTTTTGTTACTTCGCTAGTTAGACTTTAGTTGAACACCTAAACCTAATGAATAGTGGACATACAATAAAATTTAGTTTATGATTTAGTTTATGATTATCTGATTCACAGAAAGTACGTATACTCCAACTGACGACACTTAAAATCAAATGGATATCTATAAGAAACGCAACAGATGTCAATTTGAATTACACAATGGTTGATATTCTCGTTGTTAAAAAGTTATTCTTACCTTTATTTGTTATGTCCCTATCTAGTAATAACTCATATCTACCTACTTAATCTTTTATTTTTTATAGGTGCCGAATTAATAAACTTTAAAATAAAATTAAGACGGAGGCGTGTAATCGCCCCATTCATTACGCCTGTTCAGAAGACGATAATGATGGTGATTTTTCAGCTGATGATTTATCAGACGAATATCTACCCCCTCAGCCTCAAAGCTCAAGAGTACAGTATACTGGTACGTGTAACTTTAAACTGCCTACAAATAATATTTATTACTTAGGCACATGGAATATTACTTACCTAAACTTTTTAATTCATTGACACATATTTTATAGAAGCTAATTTTTGTATTACTTAAATTTAGTTTGATGGTTTGATCTTTTTTTTCTTGGTTTGATTCTTTTTGTGGAAATTAATTCACTAATTACTCCTAGTGATTTGGGTATAGAGCTAGCTTCAAGTTCAAGACCTGTACACCAAAATTACAACTCTGTTTTAGGTACTTTCACCACCTTTGTACCAAGCTATAGCATGCACTTTTTACCACTTGTTGAATCTACATTCTACTTCATTTATAATAATGATAAGATTGAGATTCGTGCCAACCCTTATCTAATGTTTAAGCTAAGAAAAGAACTTCAAGCTTATTTAATATAAAAAGCTGCCTGTCACAATTGGCACCAGTATTAAATTCTTATCTACAGCTTTTCTAACATTCTACTTAGCTTAAAAACATTTATTTTTTCAGACTCTGATTGTGCTGCGGTTCAAGTCCTTGAAGATATTAATATTGTTGGGTCGAAATTATCAATAAGATCAATCAATAAAAGCCCAGCCATGACTGAAACGTTTCACCAAGACCCGGCTCTACCCGACTTCCTCACCTATGAGATCATGTCGTGCAGCCTGGAAAAGCGGGAACAAGAGATACTATTAAATCCATGTTCGATCGGCTCCTCGCATCAACATGTGTATCTGCCTATGCCTAGTAGTTCCAGTATCTTGGAAACTCCAGTGATGACTGAAACTTTGCACCAGGAGCCTGCTTTATGTGGTATACTCACCAACGACGATCCGTCGTGCAGTCCGGAAAGGCGTGAACCAGAGATGCCACTAGAACCATGTTTGATCGGCTCCTCGCATCAAAATGTGTGTTTACCTAGCAGTTCTAGTCTCTTAAAAGCTCCAGTTATGACTGAAACTTTGCACCAGGAGCAAGATTTAGTTGGTATACTTACCAATGACGATCCGTCGTGCAGCGCGGATAGGCACGAACCGTAGATACCAGCAGAGCCATGTTTTATCGGCTCCTCGCATCAAAATGCGTATCCGAATATTAGTTCTAGTTTCTTAGAAGCTCCAGTTATCATTGAAACTTTGCACCAGGAGCCGGCTTTACCTGGTATACTCATCAATAACAATCCGCCGTGCAGTGCGGATAGGCACGAACCGGAGATACAATTAGATCCACGTTTGATTGGCTCCTCGCCTTAAAATGTGTTTCTACCTGGTACAGCTAGTAGTCATGAAAATGATAATAATGTGGGGGGGGGGGGGCAGGCAGGGGCTGGCATGACAAAGTTGAGTATTTAGCTAGATTTATAACCAGAGTCCAGCGAAAAACAGTACAACTAAACAACATTAATTCCAGACGCCATTGCACTTATGAGTATTACTTACCTGTTCTTGGAGAAAAAATTAGAGTGTGTAAAAAATGTTTTAGACTCATTCAATATTACAGATATGTGCATAACGACGATGTTCAAAAAATGGATGAAAATAATGAAAAAGTCATTGCAAAGGATAGGCGTGGTAAGCATAGCAATAGGGAGAACGCAATAAATGAAAACATTAAGATTTCAGTTCGCCAGAATATTAATTCAATTCCTGTCAAAGAATCACACTACGTAAGGCAAAGAACATCCAAACTTTATTTTGAAAATCACTTATTTTCCTAAGCTATACTCTCTTTACATTGAATCGATGACTAAAAATAATCCTATAAATTTTATATATATTTGGTAGTTTGGTATACCAAAGCTACCCAAGAACAGTACAGGCAGATCTTTTATAAAGAATTTAATATAGAATTCTTCAAGCCAAAGAAAGATCAATGTTTGAAATGTGAGGTTCATGAAAAAGCTTCAGAGTTAGAAATAGAAATCACAGCACGTGATTACGCATTACATATGGCAAATAAATGTATCTTACGTCAAATAAAAGACAACGATAGGGTAGAAGCCAAACAATCTAAAAAAAATTGTTAACTGCATGTTTTGATTTACAAAAAATTTTAACTACTCCACAGTCTGATGTGTCAACCTTCTATTACAAGAGAAAATTTCAAGTTTTCAATTTTATAATTTTCGACATAGGATCTGCTGAAGGGCACTGTTATGTGTGGGATGAATGCATTGGAAGAAAAGGCCCTAACGAAATTGCTAGCTTCTTATTCGATTTTATAAAAAAGAAGGCTGCCGAAGGTATAAGAGAATTTCGTTTCTATTCAGACTGGTGTGGTGGCCAAAATAGAAACCGAATTTTATTTCTAATGTATGCTTACGCCTCAAAAATATTTGGTGTAGTTATTACATACAACTTCTTTGAAGTTGGGCATTCCCAATCAGAAGGGGACTCATTGCATGCTCTTATAGAGCGACGTAAGAAAAACCAAGTTGTTTATGTACCACAACAATGGTACACACTAATACGTTGTGATAAGATTACAGGCAAACCCTACGTCGTGAACGAGGTCACTCAAAATGAAATATTTGATTTTAAGTCATTGTTAATTTTTGTTCCCAATTGGGAATTGGACAATGATAAAAAAATTATGTGGTCAAAAGTTAATCGTATTAAAATTAATTTCGAATCGCCAAACATTATAATGTTTCAAAATGATTTTTACAGCGATCATCTAAATTGGATAGATTTGGACTACCGCAAAGTCAAGACTAGACGTCAAAATATAAATAAATCGCAAAGTATAAAAAAATAAATATAAATAACTCGCCACACTCAAACACCGTTTCAAATAATTCCGACATTGAAGACTAAATATTGTTATCTGTGCTGGCAGCCTATTAAAATGAATAAAATATTATAAATTGATTTTTATTATCTCTCACATACTACTTACCATGTCTTTCTATCCCAATGTAACATTGATACATATTGTAATTGCTGCTTACAATAACAATCATCAAAGATTTCGTATTTGTCAATTTGTAAAATAAGTTACAAGTACCCGGATGACCGAGCTTTGCTCGGTTTTTTTAAGTTACATTTATATACAAATTACATGAATAATAGTTTTTGATCTTATTGATAATAGAAAAAACTGAACTGGTTATTTGAATAAAAAATCATGAGTGCAATTAGTTTAATTAAAATTTTCGTATTTTTTAAAAAATACTAAAAAAAAGGGCTCGAAATAATAGATTTTCTCGCAAAAGAAGGGAACTTGAAAAAAAAGGAAAAAAAGTCGGACCCAAGACGGGACGCGAACCACGGAACTCCGATATCACGCCCGAAAAACATCCCATCTGAGCTATTACGATCGTTGGTAACCTGTCAAAATTTACCTTCTTATATTGTAGCAGTATTTTATTGCCTGAAAACACGGACAAAAGGACATTTTCTAAAAATAAATCCTAGCTAGATTGATTTATTGCCCCCGAAACTCCCTGGACACTAAATTTTATGAAAATCGTTGGAGCCGTTTCCGAGATCCCGACTATATATATATATATATATATATATATATATATATATATATATATATATATATATATAGTGTACATATATATACACATACATATATATATATATACATAACATATTACATAAACACTCACGCCTGTCACCCAGAGGGGTAGACAGAGACTACAGACTTCCATTTGGCATGATCCTGACACACCTCTCTTGCCTCCTTCACATACACCTAGGCATACATGCTCGTCGGTTAAGGGTACTCCTAATTTGGCCCGTTTTCAATAAATCGCCAATTTGGTCGACAAATTTTCGCCTAGGACATCCCTTTCCGACTCTGCCATTCACTTCTGCACCATAAATTTTCTTTGTCACTCTTTCCTCATTCATTCTTTCTACATGACCAAACCGCCGAAGCATTCCTTTCTTAATCCTGGTCACAACATCATCTTGCAAACCACACTCTTCTCTTATTACACAATTTCTTACCCTGTCATTCAGATTCAGCCCTAACATACTCCTTAACGACCGCATTTCTACCGCGTTTATTCTACTCTCGTGCTTCTTCTGCCATACCCAACTTTCACTATGTAACGCTTCCCCCCTCTCATAATAATAAATATATTAGATTAAATATAATCAATTCTCCTTTATAATAAAAATTATATATATGTGACCAGGATAAATAAGATATGTTTTGATCTTTCTAAATGATCTTTCTAAAGGTTTAATAATAGGCCGTTTGTAATATTTTGGCGTGATCGACTTAGTTAGGACACTTATTTACGTTGTGTTTGTTTAGTAACTTAGTTCTTTTAGGTGTCTTTTGGAAGAATGAATATCCACTAGGGCAATTGAAAGCTGTTGGTAATGCCTTATAAGCTATGTGAACCCCGTTCACGAAGACAGGGCTCGAGAAAGGTTAAGAACATAAAACGTCCCAATTCCACTTGTGTCAGGTTTACATTATTAATTTAATATTATTTATCCCTTCCCGCTTGGAAAAGGCTCAAAATATATTTATACAAAATACCCGATACAAGGGCTTCGCTCTCCTACATTTATTAAAAAAATGTAGGGGAGGCACACGGCCGCACACACGCCGTGCACGGTGAGCGCCAACCATTTTGATGCACTCCCCCCGAAGGGAACGCTAATTCGGGAACTGGACCGTAGTCCACAGCAAAATAACTGGCGAACCAGTACAAGAGGCTTGGCCCCTTGTTAGTGCGTAAGCGGCAGCGTGTAAACGCCAAACAGAATACGAACGAATCCAGCCACAGTGAATGTACGTCACATGGTTTAGGCAAATAGGCACACTGGCCGTAAACCCTCCGTGAGCGCCACCACCTGCCAGACCGCCGCTCCTGCAGACGTGATGTAAGTGTATGGCATCACCACCAATTGCATGATCAGCACGGCTACTAGCCGCAGAGCGTGTCATGAGTCTACCGCTCACCTCAAGGGAATGGGGTCCCACGTTGTGCGGCTTTCGGCCGCAGCCTTGAGAGTCTCTTCAGATCCTCCCGCCAGCTACCACCCGCATGAGGTCGACACATATGCTCCACCAACCAATACAATGGCAGATATAGCCAAAAGGCAGTTATAAGATAAGAGTAATAATTCGCCATCAGAAAGGATTTGTGTCACTGACGTTGAGTAAATGCATTTTCGATCATGTTTGTCTCACCCACCAACAAGTTGCCTTCAATCATTCAAAGGTGGGAAAGTTACAGAGATATAATATTATGTTGTTATATAAAACATAGTGGAGGGCAGATAGTCTGCAGCCCCGCAATGAAGGGACCCGACTTGGGCAAAGCTACTTAGGTGTGAGTCAAACCAAGACGCAGAGAGCTCCATTGAGAATAGCGTCCCACCAAACAACCATCGCAGAGACGCAATGCTACAGAACGCAACAAGCATCAATACGACTATCGCCGGGCTTACACCATCCCAAGGTCCCCCATACATCCCAGCAGACATCACCACCCGCATACCTCCATCGACCAGAACCGCAAGAGAGCGTCGAATCAGGCGCAGCACACCCGCAGATCCATCACAAGACGCTATACCGCAAGTAGCAGTAAGCATCAATGCAACTATCATACGGATGGCGCCCCCCTCACAACACACCCACATGATCCCTATCGACTTTGGTAACAAAGTTGGCATTGTTGTTATATAAAAAATATGACCAACGTATCATAGTAGCACGCTACTAAGACGCCAATGAATAAAACTCCACGTATCATAGCGCTAATGCACTAAGACATGAAGTTGAGTATGCCTGTTACACTTAAAAGTGCTACCAAACACACTCATCATCCCAATCCGAAAGATAGACGACACATCGCTATGCGCAACGACGTCGTCCACAAACAGTATGGGTGTGCGATGTCCACGGGAAAGCCGTATTGCTACAACAAACCCGCTTACCACCGGCACTAAGATGTTAATTGTATACCTCCATCGACCAGAACCACAAGAATGCGTCGAATCAGGCGCAGCACACCCGCAGATCCATCACAAGACGCAATACCGCAAGTAGCAGTAAGCATCAATGCAAC